AGCTCTGCGTTGCTAGAATGCTAATTTTGCGTTGCTAACTTGCTATCTTTGCTTTGCTATCTTGCCAGCTTTGCTTTGCTAGCTTGCTAGCTTTGCGTTGCTAGCTGGCAAGCTTTGCGTTGCTAGCTTTGTAGCTTTGCGTTGCTAGCTTGCAAATTTTGCTTTGCCAGCTTGCTAGGTTTGCGTTGCTGCCTTGCTAGCTACGCGTTGCTAGCTTGCTAGCTTTGCTTTTCCAGCTATCTAGCTATCTTTGCTTTGCTAGCTTCTAGATTACTAGATATGCGTTGCTAGATTAATAGCTTTGCATTGCTATCTTGCTAAGTTAGCGTTGCTAGCTTGCTAGCTTTGTGTTGCTAGCTTGGTAGCTTGAATTTGCTATCTTGGTAGCTTTGCGTTGCAATCTTGCTAGCTTTGCGATGCTAACTTGCTAGCTTAGCGTTGCTAGCTTGCTAGATTTACGTTGCTATCTTGCTAGCTTGACGTTGCTTGCTTTCTTTGCGTTTCTTGCCTGCTAGCTTTGCGTAGCTAGCTTGCTAGCATTGCGTTGCTATCTTGCTAGCTTTGCTTTGCTAGCTTCCTAGCTCTGCGTTCCTAGCTTGCTAGCTTGGCGTTGCTAGCCAGCTAGATGGCTAGATTTGCGTTGCTACCTTGCTAGTCTTGCCTTGCTATCTTCCTAGCTTTGTGTTGCTAGCTTGCTAGCTTTGCGTTACTATCTTGCTAGCTTTGCGTTGCTATCTTCTGAGCCATGCGTCTTACTTAGGCTTCGTTCAGCTTCTTCTCTTCCTACCCCCCTTTTTCTTATTCAGCTTCTTCTCCTTGTGTCTAGAAAGTTCTTCCGTCCTGCCCTAACACGTGATCCTCCCCCCTCCAGCTGACTCTGCTTTTATGGTAACTAGTAGGGTAGGCAGAGACGTACACTCTAGGACGAGGCGTCGGGAAAGAAGGTAACAAGCAAAATTCTTTTTTTGGGAATGGACAGTCTAAATTCTCTTTTGATTGTTTCCCCTGAATATTTACTAAAAGGAATAGCCTTATTGGTGGTCTAGGGCTATATACACATATACATATATATATTTACATTTTTTTTTTGGAAAATATTGGCTTATTGTTTACCAGGTAACGTTGTATTCATGTATCGTGGGCAAGCTAAATATGCTAGCTAAACTCTTGTGGTCTGTTATTTGTACTCTCCTGAGAGTTATTGTAGGCAAGCTAAAAGTGTTAGCTGAACTATTGTGATGTATTACTTGTACTGTCCTGAGAGTAATTGTAGGCAGGCTAAAAATGTTAGCTGAACTATTGTGGTCTTTTATTTGTACGGTCCCCGAGATTTATTGTACTGTACCATATTATACTTGTTATATTAAACTTTTGTACTGCTTGGACATCCCTTGTCTCTCGGGGAATTATTTAGACGCAACAACAAGAACTAGGAGACTGAAGCGGCCCCCCCCCGGCAGGAGGAAATGCAAAAGGGGGAGTGTCAGCTCACAAATGGTAGCAGAGCGTGGTTTAACTGTGTGTCCCTAGTTCTGGTTTACTGTACTATTATTATTTACTCTTGTTTTGTTGTGTTCTATGCCTGCGAACATGCCACTTGCCTGGCTTCACGCTATGTCCAAGCAACAGTTGAAGGAGTTGGCCAGTCAGCTGGGGCTGGAGGCTGGTGGGGCGCTGGACGAATTGAGAAAGCGCGTGAAGGAGAAGTGAGCCGCCATCGAGCCGTTCCTGCCTTCTTCAAGCACGGCAGCTAAGTCTCCCCTAGCAGCTAAAACCGAGTCCTCGGGCACTGAACTTTTGAATCAGGACAGTTCATGCGCGAGCAAAATGAAGATCAAACTGGTAGTGGATGCCTTGAAAAACGTCCCCTTCTTAGCTGACACCGATCCGGAAAATGTTTTGAAATTTTTAATGGCAATGAAAGGAGTTTACGACTTACACTTAGTGACTGACTTCGAGGTGATTTCTGTATTGGTCGCTAGGACGTCAGGTAGAACAACTTCGATCTTGGGGGCCCATCTAAATTCTACTCGCGATTGGGGGATGGTTCGCTCCGGAATAGTGGACACCTTTCTCCCACCCAGAGTGAAGGAGAGATATCTATCTTTGTATGTTCTGAATCGTTTTCAGTCACCATCAGAAGACTTAAATGGCTATATAAAGGCGGTAGTGGCGGCGGCTGAAATTTTAGGCTTTGAAGGGTGAGAGCCTCGGCTGGTTCACCGTATTCTACAGAATCTGCATCCTCGGGTCAAGGGCCATCTTTTGTTCGCGACTAGGCCAGAGTCCGTGAAGGATTTGTACGCTCTCGCGACGACCGTGGCCGAAGGGATGGCTGTTGAAGAACAGCGTAAGTCGCTCGGCGCGACTTAGCGGTCTAGGGGGGCTTCTGAAGCTATTCCCAATAGTATGGTAGTGACTGGATCCGCGCAGGGCGAGGTCGATAGTAGAGTGAGGTGCTGGAGATGTGGCGAGGATGGACACTTCCGGCGCAACTGCCCCCGGGGACAGACGAATCGCAATCCTCTCTTGTCGGGAAACGCCCTAGGCGCTCGGGAGTAGGGAGTCAACCCCGAGCGCCAGGGTTAGCTCGGTCTCAGAGAGGTCCCTGTCGGATGGCGGGGTGCCACAATAATCCGTGGGCCCTTCTGAATATTAAAGGGTTCTCCTTGCCGGCCATGCTTGATTCCGGGTCGTCCGTCTCCTTTGTAAGACGGGACGTCCTGGACAAAATTTTTAACTTAGGATTGCCTCACGAATTGGAAACGACAGGAGAACGTTGCCAGGCGGCTAATGGAGAACCCTGTGATATTAAGGAAGCGGTCATTCTGCCGGTCAAATTACACGGCCTTGCTTGGAAAATTAGATTCTTGGTTTTTGAACAGTGTCCGGTCCCTTGCGTTTTGGGAGTCGACTTCCTGGGGCGGACCCAGGTGCGCATGAATTTCGCGACCGGGACATATAGTTTCGCCTTTCGTCCGGAGGAAGAATTCAAATTCGAATCGCTAGATTCTTGCAGGAGCCCCTTACAAGTGTTTCCTTGTGCCGAAAATGGGGTCAGTAGTTTCGCGTGTCCCTGCGTGCCGGAAGTGCCGCATAACTCCTCCGAAATTAACGAGTTGATGCGGAACTTTCCTGCCCTCTTTTCGGATAAACTGGGCACTGCTAAGGGCACGGTGTGTCGCCTGGAGTTGACGGATAACGTCCCGGTGCGGTCGCGGCCGTACCAGTGTTCGCCTCCCCGTTTGAAAATATTAAGGGATATAGTCCAAGACCTGCTAGATAAAGGCGTGATAAGGAAGAGCTCCTCTCAGTACGCGAGCCCGGCGTTTCTAGTGCCCAAACCCCACGGTAATTATAGGATGGTAGTGGACTATCGCCTGTTAAACAGAAAGGTAGTTTTCGACGCCTTTCCTATGCCGATGGTCGAGCACGCTTTCGCTGATTTTCACAATGCGGAAGTGTTTTCGGTGCTCGACCTTAACTCAGCGTATTACCAAATCCCCCTGACGGCTAAGAGCCGGAAGGCTACGGCCTTTTGTACCCCATTCGGGCTCTTTGAATTTAATAAGTTGCCGATGGGGATAAGCGTGGGGTGCCAGGTACTATCGAGGGTGATTGACACGCTGTTTGGGGACCTCAAACAAAAATTCGTGACTAACTTTATGGATGACCTGGTCGTATATTCTAGCTCGCTGGCCGAGCACCTCGGGCACTTGGCGGAGGTGTTTAAGAGACTAGAAATGGCCGGGTTCACCTTAAACCCGGATAAGCTTCGGCTGGCCCAAAGAGAGATTTCCTTCCTGGGGCATTTGGTGTCGAACCAAGGGATTAAAATCTTGCCTGAGCGGGGGGAAGCCATTCGTAATTTTCCGACCCCCCAGAACTTGAAGGGGGTTCGGAGATTTATGGGAATGGCAGGGTTCTATGGACGTTTTATCGAACATTTCTCGTCGATTGCGGAACCACTCCATGCGTTGAAGCGCAAGAACGCCAAGTTCATCTGGGGCGAAGCCCAACAGTCGGCCTTCGAACGGCTTAAGGAAGCCTTGTCGACGCCCCCAGTGTTACAGATTCCGGATTTTTCTCGTGAATTTACGCTCGTCTGCGACGCCAGTGACGTCGCGGTCTCTGCGGTCCTAAATCAAAGGCAAGGGGAAGGATTAGCTCCGATCGCCTACGGTAGCCGTTTGCTTTCCCCGGCCGAGAGGAGATACTCCACCCACGAGAAGGAGTGCCTCGCGGTGGTCTGGGGATGCGAAAAATACCGGACATACTTGGAACACAAAGAGTTTTGTCTACAAACGGACAACCAAGCTCTAGCCTGGCTTCTACGGCACGCTAAAGAATTGGGCCGTATAGGGCGGTGGGTGTTGCGTCTGGCGCCGTTCAAATTCCAAGTCTGTCACGTCAGTGGGAAATCTAATGTGGTGGCTGACTGCCTTACCCGACAGTACGAAGACCTCCCGAGGGACCCTACGTTTACGGGTTTGGTCTTACAACATCTGCCTGAGGCGTTCCGATCAGTCCGCGAATATCAAAAGGAGGACTCCTTTTGTAAGGACATATACGCGAAAGTTGCCCGGAACGACTCTGTGGCTAAGCAATTCAAGCTACTTAACGGGGCTCTTGTGTAGCATCCTTCTCGGGCCAGCGCTAAGCGCTACCTCCTTCCGGAGACACTCAGGCCCATGGTGCTTGAGTATTTCCACGGGTCTACGCTGAGTGCGCATTTGGGGGTAAACAAAACGCTTAGCCGGATCGCGAAAGTCTTTTATTGGCCGAATATGAGGTCGGAAATCTGCAAGTTCGTAAGGGTCTGTCAGGACTGTCAGAGGGCCAAGCCCTCCCAAGATTCTAGGGTGGGTCTCCATAGCAGCGAAATTGTGACGAGGCCCCTAGAACGGATATATATTGATATTCTTGGGCCGATTGTCAGGAGTCGGAGGGGGAACATAGCCATATTGGTGGTGTTAGACGGGTTTTCTAAGTTTGTGTCTATGTATCCAGTGAGGAAAGTTTCTTCCGAAGTAGTGGAAAACTGCCTCGTGGAGAAATTCTTCCCCACGTTCGGCGTCCCCCAGGCTATCGTTTCTGACAATGCTGCAGTCTTCAAGTCGCGGTGGTTCTACAATCTGTGCTTCTCTTGGGGCATTCGCCACATCACGACTTCACCTTATTACCCTCAAGCTTCTCAGGTTGAGCGGTTTAATCGGAATTTGAAGGCTGCCCTGATCATTTATCACCACCGTCAACACACTCGTTGGGACGAAAACCTGCCCTCGTTGTCCATTGCCTTTAACACTGCGTGGCATGAGTCGACGGGAGCGACTCCGGCTTCCCTATTTTTGGGGAGGGAGATGAACCATCCCCTGGGCCTTAAATGGGAATTTCGTGAGCTGGAGCTCCAGCGGGACCCCAAGAATATGGGTGAATACTGGGAGGCTGCCCTCGCTAATTTGAGGAAGGCTCGGGCTAGGGTGGTAGCCAGGTACAATGCGGGGAAAAGGCCGGGAGAGTTTCGCGTGAGGGACTCGGTTTTAGTTCGATTACAACCGCTGAGTCCGAAGTCACGCCAGCGCTCCGCCAAGCTCGATCTCAAGTGGTCGGTACCTCTCATTATTACTAAGTTTGTATCGTCGGTGACGGCCCTTCTGGCCAACCCTGAAACTGGGGTTATCATAAGAAAAGCCCACATATCTCAACTCAAGCCATATATTTTGGCGGGGTAGTTATATCCAGCTGGGTATGTTGAATTCATTAGTTATTCAGGGTGTACATAAAATTATAGTTTATATATGTGTTGATAATGGTGTATGTTCCAGCTGGAGACTTAGCCCTGTCCTCCTTAACCTTTACCCTTCACTTAGCCGTGTTTCGGGGAGTGTGGTACCCCCCCCCGCGCCTTTTGGAGTGCTCATCAGCGTCGAACGGCATACGCCGCCCTGCGGCGACGTTTTCTCAGCTGCTTGCCTGCTCACGGCCGGTGTTCCGGATGCGGCCTATTTCCGACGGTGCCGGGAGTGGTTTACTCTGATTGCCGAGCAGCGCTAGGGTACGTCTGCATTGGGAACTGTCAATGCAGGGTGGACAGCCAATTTTGTGATTCCAGCTGCCGTCTGTATCACTACGAGACTGCGGTTCGGAAGGTTGGGTATGACCCTGGAACACCCTATGGATTTTGTGAACACCGGGATTGAAGTGTGGCCGTAGCGAGGGCGACTGTGGCAATGGACTGGTGTATGTGGTGTTCACACTGGCTTGCCGGGCAGCGCCAGGGTACGTCCACATTGGTAACTGTCACTGCACGGTGGACAGCGAGCTCAGTGATTTCGGCAGCGGTGTGTATCAATATGAACCGCGGTGTGGCGAGTGATGTTATGAGATGCATCCGAAGTGTGACGGTGTTGGAGGAAAATTCGAGCTATGCCCTGGAAGAGTGTTCTACTGTAAAGGGGGGGATACTGAGCCATGCGTCTTACTTAGGCTCCGTTCAGCGGCATCTCTTCCTACCCCCTTTTCCTTTTTCTTCTTCTTCTCCTTCTGTCTAGAAAGTTCTTCGGTCCTGCCCTATCACGTGATACACCTCCCTCCAACTGGTTCTGCTTTTATGGTAACTAGTAGGGTAGGCAGAGACGTACACTCTAGGACGAGACGTCCGGAAAAGAGGTAACAAGCAAAATTCAGTTTTTTGGGCGTGGCCAGTCTAAATTTTGTTTGAATTGTTTCCCCTGAAGGTTCACTAAAAGGAATAGCCGTATTGGTGGTCTGGGGCTATATACACATATACATATATATATTTACAATTTTTTTTGGTTGGAAACTATTGGCTTATTGTTTACCAGAGGACGTAGTATTCATATATTGGGGGCAAGCTAAAAATGTTAGCTAAAATATTGTGATCTGTTATTTGTATTATCCTGAGAGTTATTGTAGGCAAGCTAAAAGTGTTAGCTGAACTACTGTGATCTATTATTTGTTCTGTCCTGAGAGCTTTTGTAGGCAATGTAAAAGTGTTAGCTGAACTATCGTGATCTATTATTTGTAATGTCCTGTGAGTTATTGTAGGCAAGCTAAAAGTGTTAGCTGAACTATTGTGATCTTTTACTTGTACTGTCCTGAGAGTAATTGTAGGCAAGCTAAAAATGTTAGCTGAACTATTGTGATCTATTATTTGTACGGTCCCGAGAGTTATTGTACTGTATTATATTATACTTGTTATATTAAACATTTGTACTGCTTGGACATCATTTGTATCTCGGGGAAGTAATTAGACGCAACAACGAGAACTAGGAGATGGAAGCGGCCCCCTCGGCAGGAGGAACGTTAAAAGGGGGAGTGTCAGTTCACTTCCTAGCTTTGCGTTGTTAGCTTGCTAGCTTTGCGTTGCTAGCTTGCTAGTTTTGCGTTGGTAGCTTGCTAGCTTGCTAGCTTTGCGTTGATAGCTTGCTAGCATTGCGTTGCTAGCTTGAAAGCTTTGCTTTGTTATCTTGCTAACTTGGCGTTTCTAGCTTCCTAGTGTTGCGTTGATAGCTAGCTAGATTGTTAGATTTGCGTTGCTAGCTTGCTAGCTTTGCGTTGCTATCTTGCTAACATTGCGATTCAAGGTTACTAGCTTTGCGTTGCTAGCTTGCTAGATTTGCGTCGCTAGCTTGGTAGATTTGCGTTGCTAACTTGCTAGGTTTGCGTTGTTAGCTTGCTAGTTTTGCGTTGCTAGCTTGTACGCTTTGCTTTGTTAGCTTGAAGGCTTTGCGTTGCTAGTTTGTTAGCTTGCTAGCTTTGCGTTGCTATCTTGCTAGCAATGCGTTGCTAGCTTGCTAGTTTCCGTTGCTAGCTTGGTAGCATTGCGTTGCTAGCTTGGTAGCTTTGCGTTGCTAGCTTGTTAGATTTGTGTTTCTAGCATGCTAGCTTTGCGTTGCTAGCTTGCTAGTTTTGTTGCCAGCTTGGTTGCTTTGCTTTGCTAGCTTGCTAGATTTGTGTTTCTAGCATGCTAGCTTTGCGTGGCTAGCTTGCTAGTTTGCGTTGCCAGCTTGGTTGTTTTGCTTTGCTAGATTGCTAGATTTGTGTGGCTAGCTTGCTAGCTTTGCGTTGCTAGCTTGCCAGCTGTGTGTTGCTAGCTTGCCAGCTATGCGTTGCTAGCTTGCCAGCTGTGCGTTGCTAGCTTGCCAGTTTTGCGTTGTTAGCTTGCCAGGTTTGCTTTGCTAGCTTGCTAGTTTGGCTTTGCCTGCTAGCTAGCTTTCCTTTGCTAGCTTGCTAGCTTGCTAGTTATGCTTTCCTTGCTTGCTAGTTTTGCGTTGCTAGCTTGCTAGCTATGCGTTGCAAGATAGCTAGCTTTGCGTTACTAGCTTGCTAGTTTTATTTTGCTATCTTGCCAGCATTGGTTGCTAGCTTGCAAGGGTTGAGTTGCTCGCTTGCTAGTTTTGTTTGCTAGCTTGTTAGATTTGCATGGATATCTTGTTAGTTTAGCGTTGCTACCTTGCTAGCTTCCGTTGCTAGCTTGCTAGCTTTGCGTTGCTACCTTGCTTCTTTGCGTTGCTAGCTTGCTAGGTTTGCGTTGCTTGCTTGCTTTGCGCTTATTACTTGCTAGATGTCGTTGCTAGCTTGCTAGGTTTTTCGTTGCTAGCTTTCTAGATTTGCGTTGTTAGCTTGCTTGCTTGCTTTGCCTATCTTGCTTGCTAGCTTTCATTGCTAGCTTGCTAGATTTGAGTTCCTAGCTTGCTAGATTTGCGTTGGTAGCTTGCTAGCATTGCGTTGCTTGTTTGCTAGATTGCGTTGGTACCTTGCTAGTTTGGCGTTGCTAGCTTGCTAGATTACCAGATTTGTGTTGCTAACTTGCTAGCTTTGCGTTGCTAGCTTGCTAGCTTGGCGTTGCTAGCTTGGTAGTTTGCGTTGCTAGCTTGCTAATTTTGCGTTGCTAGCTTGCTTGTTTCCGTTGCTAGCTTGGTAGTTTCGCGTTGCTAGCTTGGTAGCTTTGCGTTGCTAGCTTGCTAGTTTGCGATCTAGCTTGCTTGCTTTGCGTTGCTAGCTTGCTATATTTCGTTGTTAACTGGCTAGCTTTGCGTAGCTAGCTTGCTAGATTTCCGTTGCTATCTTGATAGATATGCGTTGCTAGCTTGCCAGGTTTGCTTTGCTATCTTGCCAGATTTGCTTCGCTAGCTTGCCAGCTTTGCGTTGCTACTTTGCCTGTATGCGTTGCAAGCTTGCCGGCTTTGCGTTGCTTGCTTGCTTGATTTGCGTGGCTAGCTTGCTAGCTTTGCATTGTTAACATGCTAGGTTTCCGTTGCTAGCATGCTAACTTTGCGTTGCTAGCTTGCTAGCGTTACTAAATTGGTTGATTATTTGCTTTCTTGCTTGCTAGCTTTGCTTTTCCAACTTGCTAGCTTTGCGTTGCTAGCTTGCTAGTTTTGCGTTGTCAGCTTCCTATATATGCTTTCCTTCCTTGCTAGCTTGGCTTTGAAAACTTCCTACCTTTGCGTTGTTAGCTAGCTAGGTTTGCATCTAGATTTCCGTTGCTATCTTGATATGAGTTGCTAGCTTGAGAGCTTTGCGTTGCTAGCTTGTTAGTTTTGCATTGCTATCTTGGTAGCTTTTCGTTGCTAGATTTCTAAATTTGCTTCCTAGCTTGCTAGCTTTGCGTTGCTAGCTTGTTAGTTTTGCATTGCTATCTTGGTAGCTTTTCGTTGCTAGATTTCTAAATTTGCTTCCTAGCTTGCTAGCTTTGCGTTGCTAGCATGCTAGCTTTGCTTAGCTAGCTTGCTATATTTGCTTTGGTAACATGCTAGCTTTGCTTTGCTAGCTTGCCAGCTTTGCATTACTAGCTTGCCAGCTATGCGTTGCTAGCTTGCCACATTTGCGTTGCCACCTTGCCAGCTTTGCATTGCTAGCTTGCTAGGTTTGCGTTGCTAGCTTGCTAAATTTCCTTTGCTTGCTTGCTGTTTTGCGATCCTTGCTTGCTAGCTTTCGTTGCTAGCCTGCTTGCTTTGAGTTCCAAGATGGCCAGTTTGTTAATTTTGCGTTGCTACCTTGCTAGCTTTGCGTAGCAATCTTGCTGGATTTGCGTTGTTAGCTTTCTAGCTTTGCGTAGCTAGCTTGATAGCTTTGCGTTGCTAGCTTGCTAGCTTTGCTTTGCTAGCTTGCTGTCTTTGCGTTGCTAGCTTGCCAGATTTGCGTTGCTAGTTTGCCAGCTTTGCTAACTTGCCATCTTTGCGTTGCTAGATTCCTAGCTTTGCGGTGCTTGCTTGCTAGCTCTGCGTTGCTAGCTTGCCAGATTTGCGTTGCTAGTTTGCCAGCTTTGCTAACTTGCCATCTTTGCGTTGCTAGATTCCTAGCTTTGCGGTGCTTGCTTGCTAGCTCTGCGTTGCTAGCTTGCCAGATTTGCGTTGCTAGTTTGCCAGCTTTGCTAACTTGCCATCTTTGCGTTGCTAGATTCCTAGCTTTGCGGTGCTTGCTTGCTAGCTCTGCGTTGCTAGCTTGCCAGATTTGCGTTGCTAGTTTGCCAGCTTTGCTAACTTGCCATCTTTGCGTTGCTAGATTCCTAGCTTTGCGGTGCTTGCTTGCTAGCTCTGCGTTGCTAGCTTGCCAGATTTGCGTTGCTAGTTTGCCAGCTTTGCTAACTTGCCATCTTTGCGTTGCTAGATTCCTAGCTTTGCGGTGCTTGCTTGCTAGCTCTGCGTTGCTAGCTTGCCAGATTTGCGTTGCTAGTTTGCCAGCTTTGCTAACTTGCCATCTTTGC